TCAAAAGAGAAAAACAGAAAATCTCTAACTACATACTTAACTATATCCTCCCACCACATACAACACAATCAAGGATAAGAAATAGGAATAAAAATCTAGAAATTTGGAGCTGGAGCAGTAGCACAGTGGGTAGGGCGTTTGCCTTGCACGCAGCCAACATGGCCAACACAGGTTCGATTCCCAGCATCCCATATGGTCCCCCGAGCACCGCCAGGAGTGATTCCTGAGTGCATCAGCCAGGAGTAACCCCTGAGCATCACCGGGTGTGACCCAAAAAGAAAAAAAATACCTAGAAATTTAACTATTAAAAAATAATTTTTCATCATTTAAAGCTCTCCAAAGCAATTTAAGTACTCCAGAAAGGTTAGCAGCATAATTTTATTAAAAATTCTATAAATAACCAAAAATGCCAAGTACCCCAACATATGTGCTGCACTTATAAGGTCTTTATCTGACGTAGCACAAAGAATTAATTTCAAAATGCTAATCTGAGACCAGATAACAGGAGAGCAGGTGCTCACAAACCCAACTTGATCCCAGGCACCACATATCCCCTGAGCACCTCCAAAGCTCACTCCTGAGCACAGAGGCAGGAGTAATCCCTGAGCATCACCAGATGTTCCAAGTCCCCACCCCAACTCCCAACCACTACCACATACACACACACACACACACACACACACACACACACACACACACACACCACACACACAAAAAAAAACTTAGTCTGCTGCTGAGTAATACGGGCACATGCCTGACATGTACCCCAGTTCAGTCCCAAGCATCACTGAATACAGACTTGGGAGTCATTCCAAATCCCTCCACCATACCACTTGGGTGGCCTGAGTAATCCCCCCACACCACAGGGCCTGAACAGCACCGCATCCTCAGGGCCTACCTCGATGCTGCTGAACTTCCAAGAAACACTTGGGAGTCCCCTCCAAAATGCTAGCCTGTTACCCATGTCCTCACTATAAACCTAAACTCTGTCACTGTCACTATCCTCCCATTGTTCATCGATTTGCTCGAGCGGGCCTAGTAACGTCTCCATTGGAGACTTTGTTGTTACTGTGTTTGGCATATCGAATAGGTCACGGGGAGCTTGCCAGGCTCTGCCGAGCGGGGGAGATACTCTCGGTAGCTTGCCAGGCTCTCCGAGAGGGGTACCTAAACTCTAATAAGTTCTATATTTTATTTATTTATTTAGCATTTTGGGTCACACCCAATGATGCTCAGGGGTTACTCCTGGATCTTCAATCAGGAAATACTTCTGGCAGTGCTCAGGGGACCAAATGGGATGCCGGGGATCGAACCCAGGTCAGCCACATGCAAGGCAAAAATATCCTACCTGCTTTACTATCACTCCAATTTCAAGTTCTATATTTTAATATAGAATATAGAATTATATATAACATAGAATCATATGTAAGCTCCCTTAATAGCTTGTTCTTCAGTAGTCATAATATGAGCATTCCTAATTTTTCAGAGATAACTAGCTACCTGAAACCCTACATTAAACCGGGGTGCCTAAAATTAAAAAAAAAAAAAATTCAATCTCCTGGAAGAAAATATTTCCCCTCCATAACATTTAAACATAAAAGTAAAAGAAAAATATATTCACTATTGACAGACTATTAAATAACGAATATGCTCTCCCTAGTCATTATTTACTACCAAAGAAAAAAATGAGTTCAACAACAAAAAGTCGTGGAGTTCTTGAATGTAGTTCATTAAGTAAAAGACGCAGGTTGGAGCTTTTCTTTGATTTTGCTGACCCCTGGTGGCTCTTGATCAACATTGTTTTCTTTAGTCTAATATAACAGAACTTATTTTTCTTAGTTTTGTGCCTAATGTTACATCATTTTGGGTGAGTCCTTTAACAGTGTACACATTATGAAATAATTATTATGTTGTACATTTCAAATATCTTGAAATTTTGTTTATCATTTATACCTCAATAACTCTTGGGAGTGGGGAACTTATACTATCATGAAGTATTTGATGAACAGGCCTTGATTTAAAAGGTCTTGATTGGGGCTGGAGAGATAGCACAGCGGGTAGGGCGTTTGCCTTGCATGCGGCTGACCTGGGTTCGATTCCCAGCATCCCATATGGTCCCCTGAGCACTGCCAGGATTAACTCCTGAGTGTAGAGCCAGGTGTGACGCAAAAATAAAATAAAAATAAAAAACATTCTTTAAAAAAAAATAAAAGGTCTTGATTTAAAACTTTGATTTAAAAGGTGAAAGATGCCATATAGAATGTGGAAAGGAGGAGTTTTATTAAGTTCAAGAAAAATAAATATTACACAACATTAAAGTTTTAATTTAATAATAATCCTTTCTGATCCTTGCAGACAGCCAACCCCAGTTCAATTCCTCTGAGCACACTCTGACCATATGGGATGCTGGGAATTGAACCTGGGTCGGCCGCGTGCAAGGCAAACGCCCTACCTGCTGTGCTATCACTCCAGCCCCTCAGGAGTGATTCTTGAGCAAAGAGTCAGTAGCAATCCCTGAATATTGCCAATGTGGCCCCAAAATAAACAAATAATAATCATTTCTATATATGTATAAATACAAGTACTGTGATAAGCAAGACAAAAGAGTAGCAAAAGACCTTTCAAAAACTAATTTGCTAGGCACCACCACGGGAGAGTGAAAAAATTAGGAACAGAAGAGCATTATGGGAATATCTACAGGGGTTAGGTCACTTTAGAAGATGTCTGGAGGATAAAAACAAGCATCAAGAATTAACAGTACACAAATATCCAGGCCAAGAGACAGTACAGAAGTTTTAGCCGACCCCAATTCAGCCTCTGCTATTACATATGGTCCCCTGAGCACTCCTGAGCAAGGAGCTAGCTAGGAACACAACCATGAACTTTCTGGGTGTGACAAAACTCCTGCATCCCCTACCTCAGAAAAAAATGTAAACACATTCCAGGAAGAAGGAACACTGGGGCATCTAGGCTAAGTCAGGCTGTTGAATTGAAGAAACCTTTAAAGTTTCTTTAAAAAGGGCACCTGCAGGGCTGAAGAGGTGAGAAGGACCAAATCTAGCTCATGTTTCAATTTTTTTAAGCACTTGACTTTTCTTAGAGCTGTCTTTTTGTTGTTGTTGTTGTTTATTTCTTTGGAGAGCACGATTACAAATAAAGTTCACAAACCACCACAGGAGAAATCCTCTACGTCTTCCCACCTTCCTTTCTGCCTTCAGGATTCCCTCGTTCTCTCTTCTCGGGCATTTGACCTGTTTATTCCTCAATGACCAAAGCAAGGTGTGTATTTTGAACTGTTGGGCTGCACCGGTATTGCTCTGGAACTACTCCTGGCTCTGTGCTCAGGGGACCACATGCAGTGCTGGGGATCAAAACCCCTATGGGTTATCCACATTCTAGGCAAGCACCTTAACCTCTGTGAAAGTACAGGGGTCCCCACAAAGAATTTTGTCCAAAATGTCAGCAGTGAGGACCCCTGTTTTCATAAAGTTGTTTTAAAAACTCTTATTTGTGAATTGACTTACATTTTATGCTTTCCAAAGAAAACCGAGTAAATACTAAATCTTCCGTATAACACACTGAGAAACAGAGGAGAAACTAAGGCGGAGAGATAAAGGGCCTTTCCCTCACCCTCTAAGAGCTCAAAACTATGAGTTGATATCAAATAAATGAGTAAAGAGATAGGGAGAAAAAAATATTAGGAGTCAACAGATTAATGTGACTATTTAAAGAACTGGTCTTGGGGCATAGCAGGTAGGATCTTTGCCTTCAACAAGGCCAACCCGGGTTCAATCCCCAGCATCCCATGTGGTTCCCTGAGCCCAGGAGTGATTCCTCAGTGTAGAACCAGGAGTCAGCCCTGAGCACAGTTGATTGAGACCTAGCACTCCCCCTCCCAAATAAAAAGACACTGGTCTTTTTAAAACAAAAATAAAATAGGGGAGTCACATGTCCTTCTCTCCCAGAAGGGAGCATAACATGATACTCGCCATAACCATGCCGCCAGACCCCATGCCAGGCTATTTCATTCTGGGTTCCCCAGAGGGGGGCAGGTGAGAGTCCTCCACACCCCGAGACCCAGTTCCAGCAGCCGAAAACCTACAGAACTCAATTGCAGACATGCTCACGGTGGCTCTCCACACTCTCAAGCCATGCCACACCCACAAGTGAACCCATTCCTGGACCATGCAGACAAATTTGCGGCCATGCAACACCTTATACCACACATCACCCATACTCCAAGAGTACTGCACCACATTTGATGGGGTTCAAAGTAGGAAGCAACCAACCTTAGAGGGAAATATTTTTTTTACAAATATATATATAAAAGCATTCAAGACCCAACCTTTAACAACATGTTAGTGATCTCTATAGAAGGGTTCAATGATCCCTGAGTGAAATACAACAATATTCACATTCTTTCCTATAAGGAAACTTTTTCATTGCATTTTCAGCAGTTTTTCATACCAAACAATACACAAATATATTTATTTCGGTTCTGCTTTGGGGTTCGGAATGGAAACATCTGAAATATGGTGGTGGGAAGGTGGAATGGTGATGGGATTGGTGTTTGAATATTAAACGTAATCAAATATTGTGAACTATTTTATAAAATAAAAAAATTTTTTAAATAAAGTAGGATAATTCACTTTCTTATCAATAACTACGGTAGCTATTCTGATACATAAAATTGCAATGTAGTTAAATATTCCTTATTTAACTTTAAAATATTTATTATTTACAATAAATAAAAACATTTTAATCATTTTATACTAAAAGCCAAAAATGTTTTAACTTTTAGCATTATATCACAGAAAAAGGCAAAAAATAAATAAATTCTAATGTTTTAAAGGTTAGTCCAATAAGCAAGGTCAATTAAAAATAAACCACAAAGATGTTCAGATTAATGTTTCTATTTGCTGAATAAACCTTGGAGATATTTTCCCACATGACTTATTTAAATCGCTGTAATATTCTCAAACATATATAATTATACTTACGTTCACTTGAACTTGAATGGACCAGTCACCAAGTATTGGATGGGAAGATAATTGAAGAGTTTTGGAAACGACTCCAAGATCATTTCGTACTGACAACCACTGTTGAATCAAGTTTGACTTTGGATCCTATAATGAAAACCAGGCACATTAACTAAATATGTCACCCATTTGTAGATGTATCCTATTTGCCCTATATACAGGCAACATCAAAAATATGACACAAAGACGCTTGTGGGAAAATATTAACTTTATACTTCAAAAGTAGTCAAATATTCCCTTGAGGGCACTTTCATTCTGCTTCACCTTTTTATGTCTTGGTATCATATTTTCCTTCTACATGAAGATGCTAAAACATGAGCAGCACCAAAAATAAGTTGTGTCTTTGATAATTTGATCTTATTTTGGTCAGTAAAATCCCACTGTGAAGAAAACAGGTTCTATGCATCAAGGGTACAGCAGTTGTCAAGAACCTAACTTACCATTACAACTTATACATGCTATCATGACTGTTTCTCCTCCAGTGTAGAATTGCCTCACATTTTACTGAGAAACGGGATTCCTAGAGAAGTAAGCACTTCACACTAAGCAGTTGGCGTGGCCAATATGACACAGCACTAACACATGAGAGAACTGAGGATTCCAAATTGTGTCTTTTAATTCTGCAAAGGTGTAGAGAGAGATGTCTAGCCAAGCAGGTAACTGAAAAAAACATATCCATCTTCCTGTAGACTCCCAGAAAAAAATCCCTTATTCAGTATCTCCCGCATGGCAGAGCCTGGCAAGCTACTCATGGCATATTCAATATGCCAAAAACATTAACAATAATGGGTCTCATTCCCTGACCCTGAAAGAGCCCCCAATACGGCAGCATTGGGAAAGATGAGTAAGGAAAGGCTGCTAAAATCTCAGGGCTGGGATGAATGGAAATGTTACTGGTACCCGCTCGAGTAAATCGATGAACAATGGGATGACAGTGATACAGTGATACAGTGATTCAATATCTATCTTTTTGGTTCTGTCTCTTTAATCTCTTGTCTCCTTTCTGTCCTTAAATCCAGTCACCATGTGCTATTGTATAACTATTGCAATATTCTCCTTCCTCCAGTCTTGACTCTCCAAGATCTCTTCTCATGGCCAACAATATTATCCATTTAAAACACAGACTTAAGACAAAGGCTACATACATGCTTAATGCAGTTCCTGGAAAGTAACAAACAGTGAATACACATAAGCTGCAATTACTTTTGGTAGATCTCAAGTCAACAATAGTTTTTGCTGACCTACAGAATAAATTTTACATTGCTGTGCATAGTTTGCAAGGCTTAATAATCTGACCCTGTCTACACTGCTGTGATTATCTTCTTCCAAACCTAAGGATGTATTTGCATCAAAAGCCCATGCATCCAGAACGAGGTCCTTCTATGTCTGACTAGTAAAATAAGCTCAGTTTCTTGCTTTTCTGTTTCTTCACCCAACACGTGGAAATGGTCACTTCCTTGAGAGTCCTGAATAGGTCCTGGAGTTTATTTTTCATGGTAACATATTACAATTGGAAGCACTCATCTGAGAGGTTTGGCTGAGTTTTGTTTGTTACCAAGTAACCTGTGAACTCCTGAGAACAGGGAGCAAGTACATTCCTGACAGATTCTCCACGCTTGGACTAGAGGCAGCAGGTTGTCCCAGCCACCGAATTTAGAAGAAACCTCTTTCCCTAAGCAGGAGACAATGTAAACACCTGGCGAAAGTACAATGCCAAAAACTGAGTGGGGAATGATCTCATGAGCCAGAAAGTAACTGAGAAAACCAAAGACCTAAGCAAGATGTGAAGAAGCTGGTCAACTGTCCTTGGTAATCCCTGGGGCAGGCATTATAACTGGGAGTTGGTGTTCATAGGCCTGACAGAGTATGGTGCTTTCAAAATCCGAGGATCCAGGCCAGAGTGACAGCACAGCAGGTAGGGCGTTTGCCTTGCACACAACTGACCCAGGTTCAATCCCCAGCATCCCATATGGTCCCCCGAGCACCACCAGAAGTAATTCCTGAATGCTCAGTAATCCCTGAGCATCGCCTGGTGTGACCCAAAGAGAAAAAAAAAAAATGAAGGAATAAAGGACAATCATTACCAAATACATGCTGTCTATTGACTAAGAGAATGCAAATAAAAACAATCAAATGCATTTTTTTCGGTTAGATTATCAAAAATTAAAGATAACTATTGAGGGGCCGGTGAGACAGTGCAGTGGGTAAGGTGTTCCCTTGCATGAAACCAACCTACATTCAATCCCCAGCAACCCTGAGCACTGCCAGGATTGATCCAGAGTCCAAAACAACGACAGGTGTTACCCCACACCCCTCCGAAAAAAAAACTAAAGAAATAAAAATGACAATTGGTTCCATAAATAAAGGCGGTATGCATGAAGTATTTGATCCACTCGATGTTGGAGGCACTTACTTACATCCACTATGTTGGGTCAGACCCACCAGAGGAACCAAAACTCACTGGTCCACAAAGAGGGTAAGTTTTTCTTTTTTTATGGTTGAAAGGCCAGTGAAGCCCCTTCCCTCCCCAATAATGCCAGTTACTGGGAGAGAAAAAAATGAACACTATCCAATGATCCACCGAAATTAAAAAAAACCACTGAATATGTTATAATGTCCGATATTTTAGCCACAATCTTCAGCCACTTTGGGCTGGGTAGGATGAGGGCTGAGAAGAGGCGCCTGGACACGTTCCGGTGCAATTCTGCATATTCGCCTGCAGGTGGCGCTGCTCCCGCCACTACAACTTTGTCCAAACCTGAGGTTCTTGTGAACACCAATTTCTTTTTTTTTTTCTGGGAATTTTTGCCAAGAAACCTATACTACTGTGAAAGACGTAGAAGAAAAGAGATCACAGTCTGTGACTCCTGACGTCACTGGAGACGTATGGCAGAGTGGGTAGTCACATCACTGCTCAGCCCAGCCTCCTGCAGCGACACATTCCTTACAACGCTGCCCAGAGGCAGACTCTGGGTTGTGACCACCCCTCACTCACCACTGCAGTCACTGGAGGCTGCAGGAAATTTCATGCAAATTCCTCTCCTGCTCAAAAGGACCCTGAGTTGACCAGGAGAGCAGTCTCCCTGAGGACCAGAGGCAGCAAGGGTGTCTAAGTCATGATCACGATCACGACCATCCTGTTGTTCGGCGATTGCCTCAAGCAGGCACCAGTCTCCTTCGTCCGAGCCCTAAGGTAAAGGCCCTCCCGTTGATCGTCGATTTGCTCGAGCGGGCCCAGTAACGTCTCCATTGGAGACTTTTGTTGTTACTGTGTCTGGCATATCGAATACTCTCGGTAGCTTGCCGGGCTCTCCGAGAGGGGCGGAGGAATCGAATTTTTTTTTAAAGTGCCATATTCAAGGCTCTTTCAGGGTTAGGGGAATGAGACCCATCATTGTTACTGGTATTTGGCATATTGGATATGCCACGGGGAGTTTGCCAGACTCTGCTGTGTGGGCAGGGTACTTTCGGAAGCCTGCCAGTTTGTCCAAAGTAAGAATGAGATGATAAGATGTCGCGCGGCTGCAAATGCAGCCGCACACTTCCGGGAGCAGGGTTTTATAGTCTCTGGGTCTTGACCGTTGATGGGATTACACGGTGCCAGGGGGCCAGTTGGTGGGTGTGACCCCCGCCTACTGGAATTTGGAGGATCTGGGTGGAGGATGCTCTGGGTATCTAAGTACCTCAGAGAAAGTCAAATGTGTCTAGTTAAGCCCATAATTTGGGAGAAGAGGTAAAAAAAAAAACTATAAATATGAAGTTTCTAAGGCAGATTCTAAAGCAGAAAGAGAGTCTAGATTATTAGAACAGGCGGTGAAACCCAGTGCTGACTCTCTGTGCTGGATTTAAGAGGACAGACCTGATGTACACAGCCACATGCCGGCAGACACTTGTTTCAAAAGCCTCCATTCCATTCCATTTCTGGCAGACAGCAAAGTCCTCAGAATACTGGTTAGACGGCATAAATGGAGACCATAAAACCCTACTCACAGAGTTACTTGAATTTAGAAATGCTATTAACTATGTCAACCTGCCTCAAAGGGCAGAGTCAGATCATCAGAGAGCCGCAAACTCTGAAATGATTCTAGTTCAACTCAAGAAATGTGCATTGCGCATGTGCCAGTCAGTATGACACTTTCTACAAACACATCATGACTTTACATTGTGTGTGTATTTATGTATATATACACACACACATACAGATACATATACATGCACGTGTATATGTGTGTGTGTGTGTGTGTGTATTACATGCTTGCTTGATTTTTTAAAATGTGTAACAACTAGGATCCGGAGTTATAAAGCATTGGGTAGGGCTTTTGCCGTACACACGGCCGACCCAGGTTCAATACCCAGCATCCCATATGGTACATGATCACAGCCAGGAGAAATTTCTGAGCACAGAGCCAGAAGTAACTCCTGAGCATTGCCAAGTGTGGCCCAAAATTCAAATTATTAATTAATTTAAATGTATAACAACAAAGAAGCAGAAATAGAAAAGTATGGAATGAAAAAGCCCAGATTTACTATATTATTCATCAGAACATTTGCTATATTATTTATCAGAACATTTCAAAGAATGAAATATCCTGAGATTGAAAAGGGTCCCCAACATCCATTCTCAAATGAAGAGAGTCCTATTCAAATTGGGAAGAGTTGGTCACCCATTTCCAGGTAAAGGTCAAATGTTTAGAATTCTCCTTAGTTTAAACAGAAAATCAGGTTCAGCTGTCACTGTCACTGTCACTGTCCTCCCGGTGTTCATCGATTTGCTTGAGTGAGCCCAGGAACGTCTCCATTGTGACCCTTGTTACTGTGTTTGGCATATCGAGTACATCACGGGTAGCTTGCCAAGCTTTTGCCGTGCTGGCGAGATACTCTCGGTTAGCTTGCCAGGCTCTCCGAGAGGGGCGGAGAAATCGAACCTGGGTCGGCCAGGTCGACTGCATGCAAGGCAAACACCTTACCCACTGTGCTATCGCTCCAACCTCAAGTATTTTTATTTGTAATGAGGGTCATAGCCAGACATGCTTGGAACCCTGCCGTGGCTTAGGGATCACTAGAGAGCCACTAGGACCGCAGCTGACTGTGCTGAGGGGCCTATGTGGTACTGCATTTGAACTCAGCATGTTCAAACCACGTGCTCGACCCCTTGCACTATCTCCAACAGGGTTCTCCCAGGGAAGCACTTGGTCAGGTATCTTTGTTCTCCTAGGTCTATGGAATGTTCCATAATCATAACTGCTAATGTTCAGCGAGCAAGTACCAGGTGACAAAAGCAGTTTGAAAAGCTTTGCTTGGATTATTTCACTTAATCAATAAGGAAACTGAAGTTCAGAGAAGGTAACTGATTTTTCTCAAGCTCACTACCAAATCACATTACAGTTCCCCTCGGAATTCGCCACGGAACTCTCCCTTCACTCAGGGTGAAATTCAAAGTCCTATGGTAGGCCCATAGTCCCATAGTAGGCCAATAAATAACTCCTAATATTCGTATCTGACCTCATCTTCTAATATTTTTCCTGTCATTTCCTTGACTCTGGGCACTGCAAGATTGTTGCTCCCACAATGCACTTAATAAGCTCCCACCTCAGGATGTCTGCACATGCTATTACCTCTATATGGGCTCTTTCAAAGAAAACTGACCACACAAACTAACTCCTTTCCCTCTTCCTCCCTCTTCCCCTGTCCTTTCTCTTTTTCCTCTCTTTCCGTACTCCACCATCTTTTTCCCTTACACAAATACCACACCATTCCCTTTACCTATCCCCGAGTGTTTAGTGTTTATTACGCTGTTCTGCTCACTGTCTTAGTGTAGGGCCGGGAACCCAAAAATTCAATAAACGTTTGATAAATGAATTCATCAATAAAGTCAGGACTGGAACCCAGCATGGAGTGAAATCTTTACTGTTGGATATCAACCCTACGTGCTTCAGGCTTCAGTGAATCACCCCCTTTCTTCCTCCCAGAGAAGTTTAACATGCCCTTGCTCATTTTCATAACTTAGTTAAAGTTTATCTTTAACCTTTCCCTTGTATTTTTACCTCTCATTATCACAGTTCCCCAAGTCAGTCTTGATTGCTTGTAAGCCAAAACTTTCTGGGAATTCTGAACCTGTAGTTGTACTGCTTTGTATTTGAAGAGCTGTATCTTGGTACCTGCTTTTCTATCTCCCCTATAACCTTTTTATATTTTACCATAGAGCAATGTTCTCTGGTTAAACACAGAAATATCATCTATGCTATGCTCCTATATTTGGGAGTAGATTTTTTTTTAATTTTTTATTAGTGAGACACCATGAGGTACAGTTGTAGACTTACACATTTTTGTGCTTGGGTTTCAATTATACAATGATCAAATACCCATCCCTCCACCAGTGCCCATTTCCCACCACCACAGATCCCAGCATCCCTCCACCCCTCATCCCCCCATCCCACCATCCCACCCTGCCTCTGTGGCAGGGCATTCCCCTCTGTTCTCTCTCTCCTATTGGGTGTTGTGATTTGCAAAAGAGGCATTGAGTGGCAATCATGTTTGGTCTATAGTCTACTTTCAGCATGCTTCTCCCATCCTGAGAAGATCCTATATTTGGAAGTTGATTGACTCTGAAATATATCTACTCCTGGGCATAATTACCTGGTCATAATTACTTGACTCAGTCTCCAGTTGCTGTAGTTCCTAACACCCCAAAAGGGAGTCCAGCCGTGAGACTAGGATGGACCCGGGGCGAGTGGCAAAGCTACCCAGCACCGAAATGGGACATTCTAGAAAGCATAAATGCATGGTCTTAATGCAAACTGTTACAACTTAAGAGACAGGACCCCCATGGGGAAGGACAAGCTGAACTGGCCTGCGGGCTGACTCTGGGATTTACAGTAAGAGCCTTGCTGGCTCTCAGAGCCCAGAGAACTAAGTGTTGGGATCTGTCTCTTTACTGTGTTTAGCCAAACAACTGCAAGTATTGATAACTTATACCACTAGAGGGAAAGATAAAACGCAATGTAGATGTCCCCTGGAGATAGAGTATCTTCTTGTGTTGATCTCCCCAAGAGAATTTCCTCTGCCAAATGTTTATTTATGTAAATGACCAGTCACACCTGGCCTTTCCTCAACCCCCTTCAGATGTTCTATAAGTTTGCTAGCAACTCTGCATTAAAGGGGCCATTTTCACCATCAGACTGTGGTCCCCAGCCTCCCCGTCTCCCCGTCTGTGTCTCTGCTGGGGAGCCCTGGGGAAATGGGGAGGTGGGGAGGGGGCTCAAGGCCACAAACGCACAGGAACAGGCGTTTTGCAGCAGCAGTCCCCCCCCCCCATTACTTTATGAACTCACACTTTACCTACTAATCTATCAGCTCCTTTTCTTCAGAGAGAATTCCATAGTAGGGGGGCTAGAGCAATAGCACAGCGGGTAGGGCATTTGCCATGCACATGGCCAACCCAGGTTCGATTCCCAGCATCCTAGATGGTCTCCTGAGCACCACCAGGGGTAATTCCTGAGTGCAGAACCAGGAGTAAGCCCTGTGCATAGCCAGGTATAACCCAAAAAGAAAAAAAAAGAGAGAGAGAGAGAGAGAGAGAGAGAGAGAGAGAGAGAGAGAGAATTCCATAGTGGGAGGAAAAGCTTATCTATTATCTCTAACAGAACATCCTGACCCCATGCCCTGAGCACCGCCAGGGGTAATTCCTGAGTGTAGAACCAGGAGTAACCCCTGTGCATCGCTGGGTATGAACTAAAAATCAAAAAAAAGAGAGAGAGAGAGAGAGAGAGAGAGAGAGAGAGAGAGAATTCCATAGTGGGAGAAAAAGCTATCACAGAACGTCCTGACCCCATGCCAGGCTGTCTTCACCAGGGCAATTCGGAGGGGGGGTGGGTTGAGCTTTCCTCCCCACCTCAGCAGAACCCTGGCAGCTGAAAACCTCCAGAACCCAGCCACAGTCATGCTCAAGGTTGTTCTCCACACACTCAGACGAGCCTCAACTATGAGAGAACTTGCAGAAAAACCCATGTATGTGGGACCCATGTCTGAGATCTCCAAGCTTGCTCAGGCGCAGGGCTGGGTCTCCTCCCCCCAGCTCCCCAGTTTCCAGTAGCTTGGCAGTCACACCCACAAACTGCCTCCCCAGTGCCACATAATCTCACCAATGGCCAAGTTCCTGGACTATGAAATAATGCTCCCAGAGGAGAGCGACACAGAACATCCTGGAGCACATGGCCAACCCACCTCTTAGACTCTAGCCTGCTCATGTACCAAAATAGCACACATTTGTTTGGGTTTAACATACATACTTGTAATAATCTCTGACACAAGCGCTTCAATGGCTCCAGGATGAAATACAACAAGCTTCACACACTTTCCTCTTAAGGTAGTGGGAAGGTGCACGGTCGTGGGATTAATGTATGAATATTATCTGTAATGAACGACTGTGAACAACTTCATACAAGTAAAGTTAAAAAAGAAGAAGAAAAGAAAAGCTTGTCTGTGGTGAAATCCAAGATATTCCATTATCAGTAACATGAGCAGAACTTCCCAGAGAGTTTCAGTAAGATACCATGAATTTCTTGCTTCACACCTATATGGCACTTACCTTGATCAGAATGTTTAAAGGAGTTTTGTAAGGCTTAAAATCTGGGAAGAGGGTGAGAACACGAAACTTCACTTCTTGCTTTGGCTTGTACAGGGGCTTGTCCGTTTGAATGAAGACAGAGATTCTCTTGGTCTCGAATGTTAAGCGTGTGAAATTCGAGAACAAAATCTCATCCTGGACATATCCAGTGACGTGAAGCTCATAGATCTCATTTTTACTATTTAGAGGTATCTGGGGGTAAAAGGAAAAAAAAAGAAAAAGAAAAGAAAGCAAAAATCAGACACATCAAGGTCACATTATTTTACCTCCCCCCCCCAAAAAAAACACTAATTATATGTTAGCATAGAAAGTTTAAATAAATAGTAGAATCAAAAGTAATTGCAATGCTCAAAAAATGTGCACTTCCTAGGCAGCAAGGTTAAACAATTTGTTTTCCCTCATTCATATCCTGCTGTTTGCCCTCCAATTACAGTGCAGTGTCCCTGGAATGCAGACCCACATCCCACCACGCTCTCAGCTCAGTGCCCTGGTCCTTGCCAATTCCCAGCCAAAATCCTTGCTCACTCTCTATTCTGGTGGTCTGAGCATCTGATATTCTTCCAGATGCTTTTTCGTGCCTGGCCAGGACTGCAATGGCCAACGGGTGACCGACCTGTGCACACACTCATTTTCTCATTCATTTCTCTCCATCTCTGTTGTGTGCAGTATCTCTTCCTGCCTTTTGTTCATTTCCTGTCACAGTCCCGGTAAGAACGATGGCACTGGAACAGCAAGGTGGCGGCTGCCTCAGAGCTTTTGGGAAAGCCAGGTATGAGCCGGTCCTGACAGGGCAACTGAAACCTCATGGGAAGGGGGGGGGGCGTGTCCTTCAAGCCCTACCGAGGTCACGAGTTGCCCCCCACGAGCGGCTCTCCAGCACGGCCATGGCTCCAGAGCCACAGAAACCAATCTCATAATTATCTGACTCTCAACAGAAATACTTCCAGGCTTAATAAGTAAAATATAAGAACCAAAATCATTTGGTTCTTGTAACCAGCTGTAGAAAACAAATTATTTCACAATGTCTTTTCGGCAGGTTTGATTTTGGGGTGTAAACTCTAAATACTAATGGTGCATCTTTTGTCGAAACAATGAATCTAATCAAAGTAGATAGAGTGTTAACTAGAATTCATCTGCCTCACAGGCGTTGGGAGGGGTAGGAGGGGGGCTATGTTGGGGTTCTTGGTGGTGAAAAATAAGTTCTGGTGAAGGGAAATGTGTTTGATCATTGCATGACCGAGACTTGAACCTGAAAGCTTAGTAACTTTTCCCACAGTGATTCAATAAAGGCCCTCCCGTTGATCGTCGATTTGCTCGAGCGGGCCCAGTAACGTCTCCATTGGAGACTTTGTTGTTACTGTGTCTGGCATATCGAATACTCTCGGTAGCTTGCCGGGCTCTCCGAGAGGGGCGGAGGAATCGAACTCGGGTCGGCCATGTTGGCCGCTTGTAAGGCGAACGCCCTACCCGCTGTGCTATCGCTCCAGCTCAATAAATAAATTTAAAAAAAAAAAAAAAGAACAATGGCACTGCTTCTTCTGTGATGGGTAACGGTTAAATTGCAGTGTTGCTCTACTTCCCCTGTCCTCCTTTGAAGTAAAAAACGCCTTATCTCGATGTATTGTTAGAGTGACGGGAAAGTTAGAAACACAAGTAACTAAGCACAGGTAACCAGGGAGGCAGTCAGTGGCCGGTGCTCTGGCTTGTTCTGAGAGCCGGGCAGGGATGAATCGGTCATAAATCTTAAAGCTGACCAGAACAGAACAGAAAGACCCAAACCTTCTTGTATGGTAGGCAGGAAGGGGTGTGAGGCCACCAAAACAATTAGTATATTAATAAATGTCTCTATGGGGCCTAATAGAGGCCAGCGGGTAGGACAGCACAGTGGGTAGGGCATTTGCCTGGCACGCGGCCGACCCAGGTTCGATTCCTCCGTCCATCCCTCTTGGAGAGCTCCGGCAAGCTACCAAGAGTATCCCGCCCACACGGCAGAGCCTGGCAAGTTCCCCGTGGAGTATTCAATATGCCAAACACAGTAACAACAAGTCTCACAATGGAGACGTTACTGGTGCCCGCTCAAGCAAATCGATGGGTAACGGGAGGACAGCGCGACAGTGCCATGGGACCTAAAACAAAATGAACCCACTCCGAAGATTCTCAGGAACACTGGCCCTCACCCCAAGTACAACGTTGTGGCCCTCCTGCCTCAATGTACCTCAGTGTATTGCGGTGAAGGAACCAATTCCTTCCTGTGGCCTTCCTCACTTTGTTCCGCCACTGCTGTCAGAAAAACTCCCATGAAGGGGGCTCTGTACCCCCTATATGGGGCCAAAATTTCAGGCAGTTGCCTAGCTGCGATCCACATTGATGTTAAATAATGACCTCCCCTGGCTTTCTCACCTAAAGATGTTTCCAGTGTGACTGATTAAGCAAACACAACCTCACAACCCTGTTAGTCACGAAAATCCCGCCTCTCATGCCTTACTTAACTCAGCAAAGCCGCGCTCAGCACTTTCCACGCACTGTGGCCTTCCACCCACAACAATCCTTCAGATGGGGGCGCCTCTGACATCCTTTTATCAACAAAGAAACCCAGTGTCTGGGCAGTTGTTCCAGGTCACCAGCTGAGATGCAAAACCAAGACGAGCTTCCTGGGTGGCTGGAACATAACATTCGGCCCCAAGTTCTCTCGCGTCGTTCTTTTGCAAGGTAGCGCTTAATCCCACAAAGTAACTTGCTTCTCAAGGGAAGAGGGAGGCTGGGTCCCAAAGCAGAGCTTCTGCCTGAGTCTCCTGTGCTTGGGTCCCTGGTTCTAGGAAACAGTCGCCTTGGAATGAGGTTCCTTGTAATACAAAGTGACAGCATGGGAGACCAACACCCAAGGATGGTAGAGATAAGGACCAGGAGGATTGTTCCACGGCTTGGAAGGTCACCTCAAGTGCTGGAGGAAAAGGCAGTTCAAAGAGAGAAGGGATCACCAAGTAAAGGATGCTTGAAGGCTCGCTCGGGATGGGAGATGTGTGCTGAAAGTAGACTATAGACCAAACATGATGGCCACTTAATGCCTATATTGGAAACCACAACACCCAAAAGGAGAGAGAGTAAAAGAGAATACACCTGCCACAGATGTTGGGGGGGGGGCGGGGGGGGGATGGAGGGGGTAGTGGGAGGGATACTGGGAACATTGGTGGTGGAGAATGGGCACTGGTAGAGGGATGGGTACTCGATCATTGTATGACTGAAACATAAGCATGAAAGTTTCTAAGTCTGTAACTGTACCTCACGGTGATTTGATAAAAAAAATTTAAAAAATTAAAATTAGGAGCTGGAGTAATAGTACAATGGGTAGAGCGTTTGCCTTGTATGCAGTCAACCCGGATTCGATTCCCAGCATCCCATATGGTCCCCTGAGCACTGCCAGGAGCAAATGCTGAGTGCAGAGCCAGGAGTAATCCCTGTGCATCGCCGGGTGTGACCCAAAAAGCAAAGAAATAAATAAAAATAAATTAAAAATAAATATTTTTTTAAATCACAATCACAACCATCCTGTTATTCATCGATTGCCTCGAGCAGGCCCCAGTAATGTCTCCTTCGTCCTAACCCTGAGACTTTTAAAAAAAAAGTGCCATAGTCAGTTAGGAGAGTGAGACCCTTCATTGTTACTGGTATTTGGCATATTGGGTACGCCACAGGGAGTTTGCCAGACTCTGCCGTGTGGGCAGGTTACATTCGCATGGGTGGTTCAGTGGTAGAATTTTTTTTTAAAAAAAATCACAATACCACACTGCCTTACCTCCTTCCTGGCCTTTTGTGGATGACATTGAAACTGCTGGATGCAAAAAGAAAAAAAAAAAAAGAATGAGGTACCCTGAGAGAACTGTGGAGAGGCCTTGAGGGAGACTGGAGTCTCAGATCAACCTGCAAGTCCTGCTCCAGAGGTCTCTGAGAAGAAACCACCTCTCAGCAAATCCCTAGCCAGCCAGCTGGAAAGGTCTCAGATGACTGCAGTGTCAGCTGATGGACACCTTGATGCAGCCTCCTGAGAACCCAAAATCAGCACTGCTCAACTCTGTGGTTCCCAAACCCCTGCCCCAGAGAAACGGTGGGAGGCAGCAGATATCTGTTGTTTTACACTAAAGTCTTGAGATAAGTTACACAAGATAACTAGCACGACTGCCTTGGGGTTGATTTCCATACTAATGAGCTTGAGGTTCTGAAATTACATCCTGACTTTCAATAAATCAGTTTTATCTACAGAATCCTGGGGGGAACGGAAAGGGGGGGGGGGGGGAAATGTCTGTAACAGCAGGCAACATAATGCCAGCAATATATGAATAAAAATGAGGCTCAATATGAATAAGGATGAAAAGGAAGTGAAGCAAACCCACACAAAATGATCGGTAGGAAGTATAGAGGGAGAAAAAAACACTGATGTCTGCAATTTACTTGAAAATGCAAAAATGAGATGAATTCAAGAATGACTAGAGAGATGGGGACATGAACGGAGATTGATAGAGGAAGTGATCTAGAATGTTATGGGTGGCGATTCTGAGTGTACCTATGGGAGTTTATGTTAGAAATGTCAAGTGTATTGTATATTTGAAATTTTCATAATCCAAAATGTTAGGGGGAAAGATCAATAACCAAACCCACAATGGCCTCTAGTACCCATTTTTGCTTTTCTCAAATAAATCAGTGTTGGGGCTGGAGCAATAGCACAGCGGGTAGTGCATTTGCCTTGCACGCGGCTGACCTGGGTTCGATTCCCAGTGTCCCATATGGTCCCCTGAGCACCGCCAGGGGTGATCCCTGAGTGCAGAGCCTGGAGTAACCCCTGGGCATCGCTGGGTGTGACCCAAAAAGCAAAATAAATTAATACATAAAAAATCAGTGTTAGAGTGTACCTTCCAGCTCACGGTCTCTATGTGCAACACAAACAAAATATGTGTACCTTCATGGGGCCAAGAGTCTAGAGAAAGAATTTATGTTCTACTTTATTCTCTCCTTAGTACTATAAATAGGAAAACACGCACTGTTAGGAACCAGTCATCTGCGTATATCTGAGTAAGATTAATAAGCACAATATTGGATGTGTTACTCTCAATTATGGGGTATAATTTGATCATTTTAGATCAAAAATCTAGATATAACTAGATTTATCTAGATATATGCAATATATATCTAGAATACAT